CTAAAAGATATTTTGATAATGAAGTATATTTTTTTATAAAAATAATGCTTTAGGATTTGAACTTTTTTATTTTTCTAAATAATTTAAATGTTGAAAAAATAAGCTTATGATGAAGACAACAGCAAATTTAGAAAATTGTAAAAACAAAAATATTAGTCAGGACAATATCTATAATATTAGTTCAAATACTTAGATTATTTACTATAACTAATGCTGATATCAAATATTCTATTTGAATTAATAGTAATAACAATTCAGATATCAACTTTTATACCTGCATTTATCATGATTTAAAATACATCAACTCCCATACAAACATATATTTGCAATGTTAAGTCGATTAAGTGTTTATGAAAATAGTGTGGAAGAAAATGACCAACAAACCCATACCCTACAATCAATAAAAGCTAATGTTCTTGATTTTTTTGATTCTTCTTCTCAACCTGCAAACTATAATAATACTAAGTATGAGTTTGAAAAATTGCAAAAAGAACTTGCAGTAATTGTTGCAGAATAGAAAGATAAAATAGCAATAACATTCACAGCTTACAAATGACTCTTCAACAGGCAGTTCAAATGGAAAAGGCAAGGATTGCAAGAATCAACGCAGTACCAGAAAATGTTAGTAATAATGTGCTAGAAGCACCTAATACTGTATCAAAAAATATAAAGTTTAAAAAATGTGGCAGATTAAAATGAAATCAGATTAAAATGAAATGAGCGACCGAAAAATACAAATTTTTGGAGTGCATTTTTTTAGCATTTTTTTAGGGTTAGGATTAGGGTTTAGAGGAAGGTTTTATAATAAACAAGTATAAATAGGTTTTAGAAGGTCAAATAGAAACCCCTTATTTCATTTTAATCCGATTTCATTATGATCTGCGACATTTATTATCACATGTCTTAACGGCCCCTTTTAGTGAAATAACGATCACGAGATATTCGGGTCACGATAATAAATTATTTTTTATTACTATTTATAAGCATGTCTCAACATCAACAGCACTTCGACAGTGGATTAGATAATTTATATATCTTTATTAATAAAAAACAAACAGTACTTCAACAGTGGCTTAACAGTAGTTATAGTACATAAGAGTTGTTGTAATTAACATTGCGTTAGTAAGTCGCACAAAATTGGGTACGTTTAAGTGCGATTATTAATTAGTGGCGACTATTGAGTTAACTTTATTAATCTATGCTCTTACGAGATTCCAGTATCGCGTGTTAATATGTGCTAATTAAATGATCAGAATTTTTATTGTTATATTACCACTATTTAAATAATAGTAATATCCAACGCCTTTATCATCATCAGAAAATTCTGATACACATATTACAAAAAACCAGTCAATATATTTTTTATTGATGTATATGACATCCACCCTAAAGTCTTGCATAATGCATGTGCCATATCTCCAGTCGGTAAAGTTAATTGTATAAAAAAACAAATGAACAAAATGCCATAATACTTCGTTATTATAATTTTGACAATTCCTAGATTTGAGCAACTTTATTTAAAAATAGCTATCATGAATTCACAATGCAGTCAGTGTGCTCTATAATGCTTAAATTAATCAATACCATGTCACTACACTGTCATATTTTTTTTATCCTCTACGCTGTTTCTTACGTGCATGTTGTTTTTCATAATGTTTCATAAAAAAAAGACGTTCAGTAAAGGTTTCATCACACTCAGGACAGTTGATTTCTAAATCATTTTCATTTTCTGATGTTTCTGAGAATGTCTATAGTAAAACAACAATATATGAATCTAATGTATAAGTAATAAAAAATGAATATGACGTACAGTACCTGCGAAAGAACATCATTAACCATTTCTATATCTAGTGTGAAATTGGATAAAATATTTTCTCTATTGATATCTTTCCATCCATGTTCTTGACGGCGTCGTCCCCTTTTGTATGTATAAATTCGTTTGTTTTGTGGGTCAATCAACCAACAAAGTTGAACTGATGTTCCTTCCACAAAATATTCATTTTTTATTTTCTCATCAAGATACACAAATTTTGAATTATTTATATCATTCCCGATGTCTCCATCTTCTATAGCGAATATGGGAGTAAATAGATCTCCCTTGAAAGTCTATTTTTGTTGAGGATTCAAATTATGGTCTATATCTTTTGGTGTATATGCGATATCTGGGGTTCTAATAGTCCTATTGCCCCTGATGTAAAAATTGAATCCGCCTTGTGAACAGGTACTACCTCTACCATTCCGACTACTAAGGATCCAATTTCGAAATTGTCCTGAGATTTCGAAAACAAACTTTTCTCTATAGTATGGTGTTTGTGGTATAGCAATCAAATGTCCTTTCTCATCAAGTTCAAAAAGATTTACGGGTTCTCTATCAACTATTAACGTACATGTTTTTAGCTGTTCGTTAATGTATTCAAACTCTTCAAGAGTATAGGAACGATTAAAATCTAAATTGTCTAGATCTATTTTATGTTTATGAACTTGTAACATGTTCGAATGTCCAAACATTAGAAAAAAAATTAGGGAGCAATTTATGTGACTAGATAATCATATTACACAATAGTGATATGAATCGAAAATCGATTAATCGGTTAGTTGGCTGAGTTGGCAACTAATCGATTAACAATTTTGACCCAACTATTAATCGATTAACCAACTAATCGATTAATCGATTAACTATTAATCGATTAATCGATTAATTTGTTAGTTTTATTTTTTAATAAAATTTTTATTTATATTCGGTATTATTATTAAATTAGAACAACTAAACAACTAATCGATTAATCGATTAATCGATTAGTTAGCAATAATCGATTTGTAATCGATTTTTTAAAAAATTTCAACCAACTAATCGATTACAATATTTGTTTCGATTCGTATCACTATTACACAAGATCTTACTCTTATTAATTCTGAAATATTTTAGGATTAGGATACCACCAAAGTAGCTGATGCAGTTGACATATGCGATCATAAGAAGAACACCGAATACGGGAAGCAACTAAAAAATAATGCAAGAGGTACGTAAGAAAGAGGTTATAGGTTACTTGTATTCTAATAAAGTCATTTAACGTACCATAATTCTGGCAGTAAGTATGATCCAAGCAATACAAATAGCACAAGCAAAGGAAACATTTTAGACATTTTTGCAATTTTAAGATTAATGATCATTATACAGTTAATTATAAAAAGTATATCAAATGAAAATTTCAACAAATTTTATTACACGAGATAATTTATAATTTTTTTACTATACCTGCTCTGCTACTACGTAATACAATCACAGCTAATAACTTTGGAATCGATTTATACACATTCAAAAAATAGTTCTGAGAACATAATTATTAGAATGCTGAAAAATAATGCCTGTTGATTAACTTTGAAATATGTCAATTTACAATTCCAAACTTTTTTTAAACTATAGTAAATATATAATTCATGGATAAATTTCGATATTTAACTTTTTATTTATTTGTATGGTCACTTTTAACATTACTGCTGTTTTCATAATTTCTGGGATATTTGGCAAAAAATTGACCGACCGAATATTTGCCGGTTTGATAAGTTTGTATTTCGGTAATAATTATATAATGTATATATCACTATGACTTCGATAATATTATATAATGTATATATCACTATGACAGTTGTTTCAGTAATGACCGATATTATCGTTATATAGTTATTAGTCGTGTAGTGACCAATAACTAAAATTATCAATTGATGCAGATCATAGTAGACTGAAGGATAAAGTCATTTACTCTGCATCACGAAGGTGATAATATTATTAGCTAATTGTCACCCTACATGATGCAGAGTAAATGACATGTCGGAGAATAGTTTTCGGGGAACGAGACGT